AAGGTTATATCACTCTATCTGCCATCTGTATGGGTTTTATAATGCAACTATGTGGCTCATGGCAACAGCTTTCCAATAGTCCCATGCTTATTAAAGTCTTCCATTTTGTTTTTATAAATTAACATTTCCTAAGGCCCTTGTTTTTAGAAGGTGTATCAGTGTCAACACTTCTGCTTTCCAAAACTATTTTAAACTAGTTTCTGTCATGTTAAGGATAAATTAAAATTGTAATGCAATATGGGAAAGTTTCATCCTGAAAGTGTTGAGGGGAAGAAAAGTGTCTAAAGCAGCAAACCAAAGAATAAAATACTTTTGCACACAGGTAGAAATGTAGGAAGTGCTGTGAGTCCTTTAGTCTGTAAGATATCAGGTTTCTAAGGATCTGTGCCTAGAGCTTCATCCCAGTTAAATTCTCTTTCAGCAAGAGCACTGCACACATTTTGGCCTTTCACTATGTTTAAAAGCCTGTTGAAATTAATAAAAAGCCTATCAGCTTTCTAAGATAGTGCCCCCTCCTGTAATTTGATCCACTGAATAGTTAAAATGTACCTCTGGATAAAAGAAGCCCTCAGAGAAATAACTGATTATTTCATCTAAGAACCACCAAAGAATTATGGTTATTCTTTTAAATAGTAATTTTTTCTAAGTGGCCTTGAATTTGCACTGAAAATTTACATTGCACAAAATTTACACTGCCTTGGAGCTGCAGCAACTTCACAAACATTTCTCTAGAATATGTTTTTTTTTCTTATTTTTTAGCCTTGTTTTCTTTCTGATTGGCTCTGTGGTTAGACTGATTGCAAGTTTCACACACAATTTGTGCCAGAACACAAAATTCTGCCAGTGTTGGCAGTATTTATGCATCTAGCACATTTATGTTGCTGTTTACACTTGGAAAGTCATAACAGAATACTTTACCCCAATGGAGAAGTTATATGGAATTTCAACTATGATTGTGCAGGAAATCAGTTTTCTTATTCCTGCTGCCGACCTGGGGGTGTTCCTTTTGCTACCAGCAATTGGATAACAATACATTTCCACAGCACCACTTCTTACAGCTCTTACATAAGAGGATGTTGATCAAATGGCATCAGGCTAAGGAAGAGTCAGGTAAAAATATCAAACTAATTTAGGGAGAGTGAGGAAAACAAAACTGTGTCCTTGAGCTTCAAACTCTGCAGCCAGGTTTGTATTAAGTCATTAACTTATCTTTAGTGGAAACAGAGCACCAAAAGCAATTCTGGACCTTGGTATTTAGGAAGAGTTATGGACATCTCACAAGTGCATGCGTGTTGAGGGCAATTCCTCTTCCTGGGGAAATGTTTCTTTCAAAACAAGATTTGTCATCTGCTGTTAGCAGACTTTTGCATGCAATTAATTTCTTTCTCTGTAGAAACTTTTTCCGTAATTTGTATTTATTTAATATTGATTCTTAAGTACTGTTGGAAGAGCTGATAAGACCAAAGTTAGTGCAGCCATCACAATTCTGAGTCCAATGCAGAGGAGGATGCACAACAGTTTATATATAGCACAGTAACACTCTATATCAACAAACTTAAAGCAGGTAATGCCTTCCAGTCCTACTAGAAAAGACTTCAAAACATATTCTTGACTAACACCACTTGGAGGCCTCTCTTTATTCTACTCCAGTTGAAAAATTGATGCTGTTTTAGAATTAGAGAAGGGAACTTTGAGTCAGCTTTTGCAAATGCAATATTTTGCTCCCAGTTATCCTATTCCTGCAAAATCTGGACATAATGGATTATTATATAGGATTGTGCTTCACTTCAGCAGATGGTGAGTTACATGGAACACACTTGGATCCTGAGAAAGGGTTGGTTAATTATAATGACTCTCCTGATTAAATTTAAGCATGGCATAAATGCTCTGTACAGCCTAACTTACTTCTGCCCATGAGGTTCCAATCTGTTTATGAAACTTGAACAGAGACATTAGGTCTTCTTCTAGACCTTTATTAAGACTTTTGTACATTTCCATATTTCCCTGAATAGGTGCCAAGGGTCTTGTTTACCTTTATCTGCAGCTACCAATTGAAGTGTCATGCAGACATAAAGAATGTGTGTTGTTCCTACCTTACACCAGTGCATCACATTTAACTTAAAAATGAGCACAGTGATGCCCCATTAAATATTTAGTTCATTCTCATAACTTTGGTCTCAGGAAGGCTAGAAATACAAAGCAAAGGCTTTAAAATACTTTTGAATTTGCATTTCAAGTCTGTAATGCATCATGTTTCATGAACTAGTACAAAAGTCAAAGGAAAAAAACCATGAGAAATGGCAATTAATCTGTCCTAACAACTGCAAAGATGTTACCAACGATACAGATATTAAAGCCATTTATTGCCATTGCCAGATAAAAGCTTTATGTAATTAAAACATATGGCTGGTATTAACTGAAAGAGGGACAGGAAATTGAGCATTAAAATTGACTCTGCCCTTAGTTCAGTGAATCTTTGGGGGAGGGCAAAGTGCTATGAGTGAAAGGGTGACAACAGCTTTATCTTTGAATATCGTGTCTTTTGTCAGCTATTATTGCAACCTGCATGTTTAAGCGTTAAAAAGACTGCAGGATAATAAAACCTGATGAATGCCTCTCAAAAAGCTAGACTGCATTTTGATGCTAAATTCTTCAGTGTAAAGAATCCAGTCCCTCTACCTTCTAGAATTTTTGGAGTAAAAGAACGATTTTAGCTTTTAGAGAAATGATTGTTTAAATATAACATGTAATGTAGTCAGTGGAAATTTCCATTCTTCCAGTTTTATTTCTGAAAGGCTGTATCCCAGAAAGCTAATTTCTGGAAGCATTTTCACAATCCTGTTTAAACAGAAGTGCTGGATTGCCTTTTAAAAGTGCATACCAGATTAGTTTTTTTCTGACAGAGTATATAAAGTTAGTTTCATTTATACTCAGTGAGGAGTTGACTCTGTGGCTTGCTTGGTACAATAATAGGGCAACCTTTTTGTTCTGCCTTTCTTTGTGCTGGTTTTTATGGGAACAATTGTATTTTTTACTTTAGTGTCCATACGAAATAATGACGAATTGTAATCTCAAATCCTTTCCTGTCCTTATATATACTGTCAGCTGCAAATTACTTTCATAGGCAGGAGCCTCTTGGCAGTTTATAAAGTTGCCTTGTTAAAAATTCAGAAGGGCAAACAATTATCTGATATTATTTGAACCTTGGGCTTCTCAAATGATTAATGACCACATTCCTTCTGTAAATAAATACAAAGTTTTGCAAAGAAATATATCAAAAAGGGTCCAGTTCTGTAAGGTTTTGCTGAGATGATTCCCATTAGTAATCAGTGTGGGTAATAGCTATTGTCTATTCACATGAATTTATAGAACCTAGCTGTCTCATTATTTTAGACAGACACATTTCTGCCAGTCTGAGATTAGATTCTATGGTCTTACTGTTCTGGAAGGTATGCAATATCTTTGCAATCAATTTAATATCTTTTTTGGCCTAATTTAAGATGACCATATAAAGTGAATACTCAAACAGTAAGTTTTTTTTCTCAGTGGGATTGTGTGAAAAGCTGAAACCTAACTTTCTGGTCATTCCTTTTCTTTTCTTCTGTTGTGCTTATTTCTGGATGGTGCTAACCCTGATTTGGTATTCCAGGCCGTGAAGACCTTCTTCTTTCTAAAGGGAATACATCACTGAACCTTTAAAATATATTAACCAAAATAGATGTATTTTTCAGGCTCCCTTTAACTTCTAAGAGCACAGTATGTTGTTCTGCTTTTTGCATTTTTTTTTTTCTTATGTTCTCTTCTGTGGCCCCGTTAGTAAATGTGGAAGCTTACATCCCTGGGGAACAGTCAACCTGTAACTAATTGGTAACAAACTAGCATTTGAAACTTAATATGCAAATTGTTATTTTAGAATTCAATAGGATTTATTTACAGCTGATCATGTATTTTCAATGTCACGTGCCACCATTTTTCAGTTTCAGAGGTAACAACCCACTTAGATGAAAGGGAAAACCACTCCTTGAGTTACCATCTCAGAACCTTGATGCAGGTAGGCACCTCATCACCCTGTAGTTTGTAGGTCACATTTTCGAGTCAAAAAGTGTGAACTAGAAGCCTGGTTTCATTAAGTATTAGAGGCCCCAGTTTGCTTTAATGCATTTCCATAAGCTCAAAATCCCTGTAATTTATAAAACTACCTAAATGAAGACTGGGATTGTTGAGTAAATTCAGAAAATAGGTCATTTTCCAGCAGCATCTAATGTTCAGGTTTCTGCCAATGAAGATGGTTCTTGGCATACTCTGTAGATACCTTTTCTGTGTTTTCTGATACCATACCCTGGATACCCTCAGCATTGTGGTTATCGATTTATAATAGTGAAGAGTCAGAGCAGTTGAAACATAGCAAGGATTTATGCTTCAAAATTAACTATCCTTGGATATTTAGGATTACAACACAAACAGCATGGCCACATGCAGTTAATATGTTTCATTTATCAGCTGAAAGTCAAAAACGAAAGTGTATTTACTGCACCTGAATGACACTAGTAAAAATGCCCAGAGCTCTTGGTCATGTGTTATCTGCAGAAGTGGTACAGTGTAAATAACAACAATTGCTCCCACTTTTACAGAAGTGGTACATTCCTTGGGTGCTAACAAGGTCCTTTCTTCTGTGGTCCTTCATTCCAATATGTCACATGTGAGGATTCACTACCTGGGCATTCTGGCCCAAGATTTCATGTAATTAAATATTATAATTCAAGAATTATCTAACACCAATTCACTTTTTGACGAATCATTATCAGACAACTCTGAATTGATGGACAGGGCTGACTCTTGTTGACTGCAAGTCTCTTTTCCATGAACTAGCCTTCCTGCTCTGGTAAGAGTATTTGTTATGTTTGTTACTGGCTCTTGTGCAGTCTTCTGTTAAAGACTGAGATTTATCTCTTCTGTTGTCTCTCTCTTCCTCCCCTCCTTTCCTCCTTCCCTCCCTGCAGAAAAATCCGTAAGAAGTTCACCAGATCACAGCTGAAAAGAGCTTCCAGAGCGCCTTGTTCTCCAATCATGGCAAAGTCAAAGTCTCTCATGAACAATAGGCCAGGATCCATCATACACTGAAGATATAACAGCATCAGCACCATAATAATGTCAAAATCGTGTTTCATTGTGAATGCAGACATAACAGGACTTCCCACATCTCTGAGACTGAAACATTGTGTGGACATATTGTGGCTGGGTTCTGTGTTCTGGGCAGGATCCAACAGCAGCCCTTGTTTTCCCTCATCTCTGCAAGGGCTACTTGTGGTTCACTGTACAGGCTATCCTGGATTCCCTCCGTTCCCAGACAACAGTGTTGGCTGGTCAGGGAGGGGCTGTTTGCACTGGCCCCACTGAATGGATGCAGAGTCCACCCATCACATTTGTCTATGCCTTCTAGTGGCTCAGCAAAAATATGCAGCTTTCAAAACTATTGCAGTGTCTTTAAAGCAGGATTTAGCCTTGAAGGGTTACATTTTCAAACAGAACTGCAGATTTGGAGTGTTCATATTTTTCAGTGTTGGCTTGAGTCACCTTGGATTTGATTTTTCTATATTGAATGTCCACAAGGACAAGGTATTGTTCAGTAGTTCTGAAAGTTAGACAGAATTAGAAAATGCCCATAATTTGTGGCCAATTTTGAAAATGTTGGCCATATTAGCTTAGGTTAAAATCCTGGAAAGTATTATATGTGACAGTGAACATCCAGCTGGACTAGTTGCATGTGTAGGAACTGGTCCCATTGTCTCTGTATTTGAAAGCATCTGCCTATTCCTTTGGGTGTTTTTTGCATTTCTTGAAGCCTATTCTGAATAGTGAAAACCAGCAGAACACCGTTCCCAGAAAACATGAAGAAATAGATTATTTCCGATTAGTAATGTCTCTCCACAAAATAATTTCTACATTTTTATATGTCTGGATAAAAAGAGGTCTTGCAGAATGCTTTGAATTCATAAATGTAAGGCTACAGGTGGATACTTACCATGGAGAGATGATGTGCCTTTTGAAACTACTTGTAGGAAACTGTCAGTCTCCCTGAAGGTGGGAATGGCAACAGAGGCAGGTCTTTTTTTCTACTCAGGTACTTACAGGTGAACAATCTCTGCCCTACTTTGAAATCCAGAGAAAACCAGTGGGTAGCACTGCTGTGTGAACCTAGTTAGGAATATATCAATCATTTAGGCAATCTGTCCTTCAATAGGTTTAGATTCCATATGGCTTTTAAAGATGTGGTCAGACACTGAACATGTCATAGCAAACTGAGATGAGCTTCAAGACTTTTTTTTTTCCTCTCTCTTTACTAAGTAGCTCCAACAGTATAACACAGATGTGACGTTTTCATCCAGTTGTGGATGTGCACCCAGCTTTGTGGTTAGAAAGACAAGGATATAAGTGCCATCTCATACTTCTGGGTCATCCCTCAAAAATGACTTCCCCCCATGCATTTTATTGTTTCAGTCTGAAAGAGCATCTGTGATCTCAGCCTAAAATTAGCCATACTCTCCATGTAGAATTTCGAGCTCCTAAGACAGTGACCCAGATGCTTCTTCAAAGAAGAAAGCACTCTGACCTCTTGAAGGGACTTGCTGATGATTTTCTCTAATTCTGGATCCAGGTCTTGTCCACTGTCCTTCACCAGCAAGAAAAGGGTGGATATGAGGCGAGGCTGATGACATGAAGTGCTTGCTCTTAGTGCCCTGAACATTTTAATGAATGTCATTGATTCAGACTCAGTTGGAGAAGACCTGGGATTCATTTGCCTACAGTACTTTTCAGTAGCCAATGAAATGTGCAGCCCTAGGAGTCTCTTCTAGGTACAGGATCTGCTTTTTCCTCTAAACAGGAGGGATTTTTATCAGATAGCTGAGTAGTGACAACCTACTCTTATTAGTAAGACTTGCCTTTATTAACTGCAACATATGGAAACACCTTCTGTATAATAGCTTCCTCACCCATTAGAATAAAGAAAACATGATTATTCAGCAATCTGTTTGACTGAAAGTATGAAAAACATGAACATAACGAGCTTTGTCTCCCTCAGACATCACTGAAATCACATACAGCAGACTCATTTTCAAAGTGTTGTTAGCTGTAAGGTGGTAGATTTTTTTTTTACCCTGCCTTATTAAGCTTGTACTAAAATGATTTCTTTTAGTCAGTGTGCTCCAGTGTCTAGACAGTATTTTGTAAAATCTGTGTGTTCCTGCTTTTGACAGAAGTATTAGTATCCGTAATAGCCTGATGCGAAGTCATTTTTTCTTCTTTCCCTCTGAGGAGAGAGAGGCTGGTAACACAGCTCCCTGTCAGCAGCAGCTGCCTGGTACCCTTATCTTTTGCATCAAATAGCCAAGGTAAGGAGGAATCCTTTGCAGCTTCATGCTGAGGTGCTTCCTCTGGATACGCTGGAAATAATGTTCCACTTCTGCCCAGCAGAGCCATTTCCCAGGTTGCAAGAGCCCAGAGGAATTGCTGGAATAACTTCTGCCCTGTCCTTCAACTGTCCCACATGCACTGAGATATCCTCTCTCCTACACTGCACACAGTGCAGGGAGAAACTGCACCTTAGTTTTTACCTGCTCTCTGTTCATCTCACCCGTCCCTCAAGATGTTCTCCAGAGATGGATGCAGGATTTCCCTGGCAATTTCGACTGAGAGCGTGGATGGAAGATTTGCTGAAGTTGTGTTCCTCCTGCTGGGTTTGGGCATAACCATTTAAATTTTTGTAGAAATTGTGAAACTCCTCAGCACAATATCATGCATTTCCACGCTTTCTGTTGAGTTAAAATACTTTTCACTGGCTGTGAGCAAAGATGACACATTCCTGCGTAAACTGAAACAGTATATCCACAACAAGTCAGAGCTCTGTACTTTTTTATCAATCTTCCCAAGTTACTTTAAAACCAGCCAGCATCTATCAGTCATCAACAATGACACTGAGTATAAACATGAACCTTGTAAGCAAGGACAAGAAGTTTGGTACTTACCATGGTATGAGTGAGAGAATCTAGGCAGCAACAGCGCTGCATTTACAATATGATTTGTTTTTCTGTTTGCGAAATAAGAAATCCTTCTGAAAATTTGCCTCTCCACTTACAAATACGGGGCTAGAAAACCATGCAAAATGCACAATCTCTTTGTGTCCAGAGGCCTCATACAGAAAGTAGGAAGATTGTTTTAATGTTTAAAATGTCTATGTTGCCATTTTCGACTATATAGCTACTCTGCTCTCTTGAAATATTGTGTATACTGTTTTCAGATTATTTTTAAAGGCCCCTACTTAGTGATGGAAGTTTTGATTCTGTAGGATGGAAAAATAAGGTTTTGAAATACTTGAGATTGCCTGAAGTGTGTTGGTCATATGAAAACATCTTTAAAACCAGTGTTTTGATTGAAAGGCAAATATAGCCTTCGTTTCTGCAGTCCAAACCTTTCAGCATGTTATGAAAAACTGGAAATTGGAACTGATGTAGAAAAAACAAGGAGTAGAAATGGTGAAATGGAGCCTGCACTTACAGAATGTGCACTTTTTTAGTAATCTAAAGTAAGATTTATTTTTTTTAATAAACATAATTTCAACAGAGATACTTTCCTAATTATGAATGCTTAAATAAAATGGAATGGCTGCACAGTAGTTTCTCATATAGTCACAGCATAACATGCCACAGCCTTTTGCAGAGAACAATTATAGTCCTTCAGAAATACTATATTACTGGACACAGTGTCTATATGTGTATGTACTGCTATGGTAATGGAATTGTTAGAATCCTTTGGAAATTTCAGCAAAATAATATTAATTTTCATTTTCTTTTGAACCTTCTTTATATAAACCTGTGTCTTCATAAGCCAGGGGGGTTGTCAAAAGATCTGAGTTTATATAACTGCATAGTGGATTTTTTTAGAGTAAGTCAGGACTTTTTTATTCAAATGTTGCATGTTGAGGGAGGAAACCTAATTTTGGAATACATGGGTTTTGGATAAGAGTTTTGAGGTTGTACTATATAGTGATCATCAAATTTGCAGAATATGCTCCTGTTGCTCATAAAGATTTAACAGTTGGTATTGAAATACAGTATTGATTAAATAAAAAAGAAAAAATTTAGGAGTTGTCTTTTTAAATTTCTGTTATCTAGACTAAAAGTGATTTTCTCAATGGAATGGTAAAACTGGGAAGCTCAGTGTTGGGTGTTTGAGAATGTGGAGCACCTTAGAATGAAACAGTACTATTTGATTTGCATTAAAGTGTCTTTGTGTACAAACTCTGTGACTCTCTGTCCTTTTTGCAGAAAACTAAATTTCTACATTGGTACTGTCATCCTGTTTTACAGTAGGCTATTGAATAGTCAAAAGACTGAAGATTGGTGAACTGCATGAGAGTCTAAAACAGAAGTAGATAACAAGGGGATGAGGAGAGAAGACTCAGAAATTGGGAAAAGTGAGACATGAGGTATTGGTCCTTACACTGGAACACCAGAAGACTGCTTAGGATTGAACTGAACTCTAGGCAAGAGGACTCATAGTCCACAAAAGCAATACTAGAAGTTACAGTGCATTGCAGTCTCCAGTGAACTGGCCCAGTTAAACTTCTCAGGTTGGTATTAGTGTCAAAAACTTTGTATCTTCTTTTGGTAGCACCTGGAATTGGTGGCTTCTATGTAAATACGGAACATTATCTGAATCCTCTTCTTTGATGACATCTAAACTAATTTCTGCAAATTAATTGGGTATTTTTTTCAGAGGAGAATGATATAAAGGTCTTCTGAACAGAATTAAGGAAGGCTGCTCACAGGTATATTCAAGGCAACACACATTAGGAGATGTTTCCATCTCCTAATTCCCCAGTCTGTCTTGGGGAATGCAGGATGCTTGGTCCACAGGCTGAATATTGTTTCAAATGTTTGTTTTAGAATGGATAATCTTTTTCTCCTTCCCTTCCCTCCACCTCCTCCCCCAAAGACACCTGTGTAAATCCAAATAGAGGAGCTCAACATCTGTGGTGCAAGATGAGTTGTATTTACTAGTCCTGGGTGTGAAGCATTGGTATGGAGGGGATAACCTCTGGAAGCAGTCCTTTGCTGGCAGAACTGAGGAACTGGGAATCTCTTCAACAGGCTTGGACAGGCTTACAAGGAATCTCAGTAAAAAAGGAGGAGGTCCAAGGTACTCATTTTTTCAAAGTATGACTGTAAAGCCTTTCCCATGTCTAGTTGAAATAGGTACCTAAGAGATCCCTATATAGGTACCTAACTTTAGTTTCTCAGCTCTTTGGTTCACTGTAAAGGTATTGATCACACAAACAAAGCCTCAGCAATGAAAGGACATAAAACATTTTTTTCTTTCCTTTGCACTACAGTCAGAAAAAAAGAAAAAAAATATATAAAAAATACCCCTGCAATAAAAACCAACCAATCAAACAAACAAACCAAACCCAGAAAACCAAAAGCCAACCAAATAAAATATCCATGGCTCTGCTGTCTACTTGAAAGCAGAAATCATTGGACAGGGCATTTTGCTAAGGGCTGAGTTTTGTTTTGGTCCTTGGTATATGCAGAATTTTCATAAACCACTGTAAACACAGAAAGCTTTTCTGTGAGGCTGGTCTGACACCATGGCACTTTTCCATCAAGTCAGATGCATTATGGCT